TTGAGTCTAAATTTATGTTTAGAAGCTGATATGTTTTTAGATACAGGTTAGAGATTTCAGTGACCACAGAGGATTTTGATGTTTAAAAAAAAAAAAAAAAACATCAGTATGATTGTGTTTCTTCTGGGATTCCTTAAAAATGTGCCTCAAAGCTGGAAGCAGCACCTGACCCCCAGCAAATCGTAACCCTAACCCCTTTATCTGTCCATCTCACTCTGTGCACAGAAACCCGCTGCCCTCTGTCACCTCAGGTGCGACTGACCCTTTGAAGTGTCATAGAGGTGTTAGTTTATGAGAAACAAGGAAGATTCCTGCTCAGCCTAAATCAACTTGTCAGTCAGCGGCTGCAGGGGAAACAGCAGAGCTTAACCTGTCATTACACTCGCACATTTCAAACATCACAACACCTGAGACCTGAAGACGCCCCAGAGATTCAGTTAAGGTAGGGTGTTAATAATTGAATTGTTATTGTGAAAATGGTTATTTGTGTGAATGGGTTGTTAGGAAAAAGTAACGTCGTAAAAAGTGTAGTTATGTCAAATATTTAGCTACCTGTTTATACTTGCCAAAAGCTGATGATAAGCGATTTTATGTTCCTAATGTAAGAGTTTCAAGGGACAACAGATTATTAGTTTGTTGAGTTTCATACCTAAAATTTTACTTTTTACCAATTGGACCAATTTGTGACAATATTTCCCTAATTGAACTTGATTCAACAACAAAAAATGTCCTTGACAATTAATGCTGTTGCCTCTGGAGCCCAGTAAGTGATATTGTTGAGTGTTTCTTTCAGGGTATGTGTTTTCAGCATTACACAAGAGTAGCACCTTAAGGCCTTGTCATCTTTAGGGAACTGTCAGTCATCTCCTGTTACTGTATGAAGGTAGGGTCATTGGCGCCACCTTATCAGATCAGAACCAGACTTTGTAATATTGAGTGTTCAGACACTGAACTCCCTCAGGGCTTCTTCTTATTAAGCCCTACAACAAAACAAGGAAAGTTTGGAGTCAGTAAGGTTTTTTTTTTTTTTTTCAAAGAAGAAATAATATTAAAATATAAAATTTTATAAGTTTTCTCTTTTGATATATATTTTATAATGTAATTTATTCCTGTGGTGGCAAAGCTGAATTTTCAGCAGCCATTATTCTAGTCTTCAGTATCATGTGATCTTTCAGAAATCATTCTGATTTGGTGCTCAAGAAACATTTCTTAATATTTTGAATGTTGAAAACTGTTGTGCTGCTCAATATTTTTGTAGAAATCATGATACATTTTTCAGGTTTCTTTGATTAATAGAAAGAAAATAGAAAAGAACAGCATTTATTTGAAACAGAATTTTTGCAACAATGTAAAAGTCTTTACTGTCATTTTGATAAATTGTCCTTGTTAATTTCTTTCAAAAATTCTTAATGATCACAAACTTTTGAGTGATACAAAAAGTACAACCGATTTAATGTTAAATGATGGCTAAGAAGGTCTATCATTTCAGGTGATTGTTCATTTGCCCATAGTGCTATTAATGATTGTACCTCTGAAAGAGACAGAAACTCTTAACTATTGTACTTTTTTAGTGTTTTTGGCCTTGGGCATCAGCCACTTTTACATTGTGCGTTGTAAACTCAAAAACTTACACACACAAAAGCGTGCTGTTCTTCTCACTGGAGGTCTCTTAGTGAGACAAAGCAACTGCATTTGCCCACTCACAACACCAAACACACAGACACGCAGGGGATTGATCACTCAGACCAGCATCGCTGTGTCAACGGACCCAGTCGCCTGGCAACATGTTGAAAGGCCTGAAGTGCATTGACGGGACACAATAGTCCTGGCCAGTGTTTGCCGGGTGATGTTTTATGGCTGACCAAACAGTCCTCAGCACTCTTGCTCTACTCCAAAAACTTGAGAATGTTTACTCACAGCACTTTCTTTTAAATCGTTTTGTGATCAGTCATCTGTTCAGCTGACAAAGAAATAAGGTAGTCGATTTTAGTTAAAAAATTCAATTTTATTCTAGAAACTTTATAAGGCATCTATATTTTAACATAGTTTTGACAGTATTAACTTTGAGTATTTTACTTTACGTCAGAAGCCCAATGGTCAGTGGATGACATTTGTTGCTTGAGCTAATATTGGCAGTCCCTCCCAGTGGTGTAATTTGTCTCACAGTCTCTGCTTAGAAGCATGAATTAAATGTTGACACAGTGATTTCATGCACACACAGGCGTTTGGCTGGGTCAAGCAGAGAGTCTCCCTTTGCACCTGCTGCTGCTTTCAGCTACAGCCATGCTGATTATTACGGGTTAGCTCAAATATCCTTGCACTGTGAATCCTGTACAAGAATCCAGAGAAATCAGGCACCTTTTCCTGTTCAAACAACAACGCCTCGTGTTGTCTGCAGAGTTGTCTTATCTCACTGTTTGGACTTTCATTTCAAAACAGGGCTTGTTTTCTCACTGAAGTGCTGTACTTTTTAATACTTAGGCATATTAATTTTCACATTTTTTTAAATAATAATAATATTTTTAAAAGATTCTTGGAAACTATATGGATAAACACGGTATTTATTGATATTACCTCAATTATTAATTATAAACAAATGAAAAATAAACAAAATGTCCAGATCAGAAATGCAAAGCATACACCAACTTGTATTCATTTCACATTAGTTTCAAAAGTAAAAAAAAAAAAAAAAATTTGGTTATTAAAGACTGAAGAGTGAAGACTTATGAACATACAAAGTGTGTGTGCGTTCATTTGTGTGTTTGATTTTCAGTCTGCAGGCTTCACAGCTTGTTGATTTATGACCATATAAATATCCTTGCCATCCCTTGCCAGAGCATGTTCAGGTATTTTGCTCATAAATATGCACGCCCCAAATTATTAATGCCACAGTGAGAAATAAATAAGGCTATTTAGCTTACTGCTGGAAAAAAATTCTCACCAAATAAGTTCTGTGAGTTGATTTCAAGCTTGATGACATTAGTTTTTCTAGTGTGATTATAAATAACAGGTTCCTGTCCATTCCATCTCCTGTGTCCGGGTTAAGGCTGCAGGCTCATTATTCAGGCCACTGGCCACATGCATGAATAAATGGAAAAATTACACATGCTAATTACCTTGGATGTTTCTCCATAATGCATTATATTAATTAAATGGATGCCAGTGTATGAAATGTGACATACTGTATCGAACAAACAACCTAGACTAACCTTCATCTGCGTCAATACATGATAGCCACTAAGACTGTGTCTTAATGAGTTTGACCAACTAGCAGCAAGACAAGACGTAATTATTCTTCATTTTTCAATTCAAATTAGACCAAACTACCATTTTATGTAACAGACTTTAAAAATATAGGACCAGTCTTGAAGAAAAACAATAGATGATTAACTTTTAAGACAAGTCTAAGCAGTTTATGCTACTGACCATGCACAGATCATTTATGGTATGTTATTTGCTCTTTACATTCTGTATACACAAATATGATTGTATGTTGTGCTGCTATTTTTACAGCTGAAGTTAATGGTTTATTAAAATGCAGCAGAAAGACAGCAGAACAATTATATTATTCAGTCATTTCAGTAATTTAAAATATTAATATTAATGTATATAAAAAACAGCTGCTTTTTATTTTGACTGATAAAAATATATTTAAGTTGAGTAAAAGTTTAAAAAAGCATGCAAGTCTCTGACTTTGTAGTTCATAGATACATTTATTTACGTGGGATGAAATTATTTAGCCACACTTAGAAATATAAAGTCTATAAAAATCTAATAAATCTAATTGTAAAGATGATTCAATTGTAAAAATATAAATTAATATCGGTGTAGTAAGTCACTTCCCCTTAACTTCAGCACAGGTTGTTCCAATAGTTTAGCAAACCATAAAGTTTCCACAAGAGTGTATCTATTGTTTAATATATATATATATTTCCCCTGAAAAATGTTTCATAATGCCACTTGGGTTGATATTTCGTTATCCAAAATAATAACTCATATATTTTTATTAAATTGTATTTATTTATTTTAAATTAAATGATTAGCCTATTATTATTTGTTGTTGTTGGTACAAATCTTTTTTTTATATATATATTTTTGGGTCCAGTAGTGTAGATTTTTTATATAAAGACTGTCAGTAATAAATAGAATTCAAAATTGCTATGCGACAAGTCATCGATTGAGGAAATAAGCTAAGTATGCAATCCCGGCCCGTTTATTTCAGTTAAGTTATACTGGCCTACACTCTTTAATTGAATAAATTCTCCTCCGATCTTACTAAAGTTCACAAAACTGTTCGATGATTTTATTGTTATTGCTGCTGATTCAAATCTCTTACTCTGTATGTTGGGCAACTCCATTACACAAATTAAAATGACAAGTCTCAGGATATTTTAATAAGGTTTGATGACAAAGTTTATAATTTATTTCAGGTGATATACGTGAAAAGCAGCATGCTATAGTACACAAGAGCATGTCAACATTATACAGAAAACTTATATACAACAGCTTTCACTATATTCAACGAAGCTGATAAATTAGACTGAGCATTGTTCACGGAACAATATCTCTTGCGATATTTGTAACGTCACACCAAAAGTGCATTGTAGTAGTGTTTCCATTTTTATTTTTCTACACTGCCACAGGAAAAGCTGCAGAATCTGTGCTTATACATGCAATCCTAAATCCCCTTTCAGTTCCTTTACTTGGTGTCGATGAGCTTTAATGGGTAAGCAGCCCAAAATTATAAGTTACAAGTTGGAGAATGTATTGTAATTCATAATCATACTTTCCTAAACTCTTTACGCTCTGTTCTAATATTTTCATAGTCCATTGTGCATTTTCCAATAAGATTCTTAAACTTTAATAATGAGGTAGCCTAATGACATATGTCATTGAAATATTTAGATAATAATCAAACTTAACAGAATGTTTAATTTCACTGTATTTCGAGAAAATTTAAACAAGTCAACTTTTTTTTATTTCAGAGATATAGCGAGTTTTCTTGTCTTGCCTTTTTGTCGGGTGGGTGTGTATGTAAAGTTTCAAGTCCCACTTAAAGTTTTAAGTGACCTCTTGACAGTGCACGGCGGCCGAATGGAGCAGCGAGGTCGGGCTCGGTGTGGCAGGGCTGCTCTGTCCGGGAGACGTCGGGCTCATGGACTGTGGAGAGCCGGAGAGGAAGGCTGGAAGGCGCGCCTGCAGCATCGAGATGGACGGAACCGGAGCCGGGGTGGGTTTGATTGGCACTGGGATCGCCGGTAAACTTTGCCCCCCATGACTCAGGGATTTGAATGGTACTCCATAGGCAGTATACTCAGCGTCTATCACATTACTGCTATACATGTGGGGCCAAGCCGTGGTCAACTGATTGTGTAGGCCTATTTGATAACCCGTTGACATGGACTGCATGGTAGAGAAAGCAAGACTTCCTGGCATTTTGTAATCTCTGGCAATTATATTTTCAATGGCAAAGGGGTGTTTGAAAGTGGAGGGTTGTGAAACACTTAAGTTGTAGCTGGTCATCTGAGGTAGATGTGTCCCTAAAGTTGTCATTCTGAGTTTGGCTTGTTGCTGGAGGTAATGCGCCGCGTCTGATGGTTTTTGCAGGTGCTCGGAGGTGATCATCACTTTGAATCTCTTGCGGCGCCTCAAGAAGCTCCCGTTTTCGAACATGTCACCGCAGCTGGGATGGAGAGCCCAGAAGCTGCCTTTCCCCGGCTGGTCCGGTCTTCGCGGGATCTTAATGAAGCAGTCGTTGAAGGAAAGGTTGTGGCGCAGGGAGTTCTGCCAGCGCTGCGTGTTATCCCGATAATAAGGAAACCTGTCCATGATGAACTTGTAAATTTCGCTGAGAGGGAGCATCTTCTCCGGGCAACTCTGAATGGCCATTGCGGTTAGCGAAATATACGAATACGGCGGCTTCTGGTCGCTGTACGTGTTTCTTCCAGGACGAGGCATTTTCCTAAGTGAATTAGCCTACCTTAAGTTCACCGAGTCAATGACGAATAGCTTCAAAACACTCCGAGTTTGTTGAAAATGTCACACTGATCCGAAGTACTAAAAAGTCAGACATCTTAATAAATGCAGGTGCTTCAGGTGACACTCACTTAGCTATCCATTCTTGTAAAAGTTTTGAGCAAATTATGCAGTTCGTTTCATTCGTTTGTTTCAGGATTTTGTGAAATGCTGTCCATTAAAAAATAAAAACTTAAAATCTCAACGTCTTCTCTCATGGCCTCACTCGGAGTTCTCTGTGTGTGTGCTAAAGTCTCTGAGCGTCTGTCCCCCTTTTTCTGTGTCTCTTCAAGTGCTCTCTAGGTTGTCACATGACAATCTTCCTCAAAGGAGGGGCGCGCGCACTGTCTTCTAAACAGTTTTCATTTACACCTCTTTCACGCGACCCGCTGAACCAATAAAATTCATCTCCGCCCGAAGACAGAGCGCGGCAAGAGGCGGCTGGATGTGAAATGCACCTGGCTAGTTTGTTCGTGAACTTTGTAAACATACACAGCATGATGGCACACTGGCAGTCATTTAGGTGGGGAAAACTAATAAGGAGGAGAAGCCTAATGTCTTCTCAGTAGCTCTGGCGTATAGTTTAAACCCTTAGCTTTTCGTTTAAGCTCAGGTTGACCACCACAACCATTATAACCATATGTAGGCTACTAATTAAAATCCGTTCGAAATAATTCTGAAGCGGATCTTTTCCAATTTTGTTTTTATTTCTAGCAATTTGTAATTTGAAAATATTGTTTTTCCTTCTATGGCATCCAATTGGGCTCCTAATAATTTAATAATTTATTCATTTATATATTTGTATAGGCTAAATTAATCATTTTAAAAATTGCATTTACCCTACTTTATCCTATACACTGACAAAAAAATATTTCTGTGTTTGTGTTGTAAAAATGTTCTTTTCATTCATTTAATTCATTCATCAAATTTAGTATTCTAAAACGTTGGCTAGATCTTTCCTACTTTGGCACCGTTTGGGTTTTATTTAAACTTTAAGCCACCGATTTAATTTAAGATTTCAGTTAATGCGCTCATTTTAATGTTTAATGAGTGTTATGTTTTGTAGGCTATATAGCCTAATCATATAACCGCATGTCTGTCTTTATCAGTAGGTCAGGTGCGATACTTAACTTGTTCTTATTCTTGTAAAGCTAGACAGTCACTCAGGACCACACACAAGCAGATTCCCATTCACACTGCTGAAGAAGTGAATTTAGGCTACATGCTGAAATATTCCTTCTAATAATGGGGCGTGTTTATTATCGAAATGAATTTGAGTTAAATCCACTAATGCCTCAAAGATTCTCAGAGGGAAGTTTTGTAGTCGTTATTTTTATTTTATTTTTATCATTTAGAGCATCAGCGTGAGGATCACATTTTATAGGCAAACTATTTTATCGTTAATTAAGTATCTTTTGTGATTAATACATTCATGTAATGACGTTTAACAGATGAAAATGTGTTTTATGTCTAAGGTGTTAACGTCATAGGTTAAAAGAGACTAAGTTCAGATCATCAGTTAAAATGAAGAATAGCCAAGCTATTTTAGAGAAGCTATGTTAAAAATGGTTTGATTGCCATGCATATATGGAGAGTTGTTAGCAATTTTAATATCAGTGTCAATTTGTAAATAATTAACCGCTTCACCGTGAAAATAAAGAACGTGGGATAGTCGTGGAAGTGCTGCATTACAACAGAATAATCTGCGTGTCTCAATCCTGATTCCTGTAAATAGATGAGGACTGTCATAATTGGTCTGAGGAGGGGTGACGTCAATGGCCTTTGATTGGAGGATGAACTTCCAAATCACAGACCAAGTTCTTTGACCTTTTTATTTGGCATATACTATGGGGTTTCTGAAGACCTCGTAAAATATGAAAAGACATATTAATACACAGTCTTAGTAACAACAATAAATAGTTTTATGCATTTATAGAATTTTTATATGAAGAAAACAATAAACTTAAAATACGATCTAGTCTCTAATAATTTTTTTTAACATATTAGCATTAAAAAGGAAACATCATTAGTTAAAATTAGGTCAATAGCTTTTTAAATATAGCTTTACTAATATAGGCTTGTCAGCACCATATTGTCATTTTTTCTAGTTGTGTGTCTGTTATGGGATGTTAAGTGAATATTTAATCTGTATTATTACTTTTGTCTTTTATTGTTATCATTCCATTTGTACTGGCATACAGCTGGAGGAAGGAAGCAATGAATTATCTCGAATGAACCAACATTCTCTGACCTAACTGCCGTGTGTGTGTGTGTGTGTGTGTGTGTGTGTGTGTGTGTGTGGAGATGCTGCAGTTAACCCTTGACCACTATCACTGGGTAAGACTGGGAGCAGGTTGATGCTGTATTCCGTGATGAATGATATTTAGTCTAATTGAGAACACGTGACGCATCTGTGTCTGATAGATGATACTGGCCTGTAAATACAGCCCTTGACACAATGATGTCTCTTCCTTAGCCAGCCCAGAGCCTGGCTTTTTGTGTTCTGTTTTGAATATTACTTTATTCTGTTCTTTACTGTATTTAGTCTTTTACTCTATTTTTTTATTCCTCAATCTGACAGTTATGTTAAAAGGTGCTTAAAATAATAATAATGCAGGGTAAATGTAAAGTTATCGAAACTTAAATTTCAATACTAATACAACTTACAGTATCAATACTTTTATATCATAGAACTTGATGGGGCAGCTATGACAGGTCATGAAGAGTTCATGAAGATACCCGAGGATCTGCCTGTGGCTGTCAGCATTACAGCAACCAGGCCTCACCTAAGCATAGGGCAACAATTCATATAAGAATGACAACAGTCCTGATAAAGCGCTGACAGTGTTGTACAGGCGAAATATTCCTGTAATAATTAGCTGAGGTGTAAAAGTACACTACATTTCTAAATAATTTGGAGCCGGTATAAGATTTGTTTATGTTCTTTAAATATGATAATAACTTTTGTCTGTTTTGTTTCTATTTTTGACAAAGTATATAGATTCTTATTTAAGATAATCAGAGTAGCACACACCAAAAGTACTGTGTAGACCAAAATATGGGATTTTTGATTAAATAGTTCGATTTCAAATTTGCTGACACTCTGTCAGTGAAATTGTAGACTGAAAGCATTGAGTGGTCAGTTTCCTTCGAATGCAGCTCCGAGTTATCGTATTAGATTGTAAAGTGGATTATTGACCTCTCATCCTCTTATGTTGTTCTCAAGAGTCATAACACACTCCCTGCTGTGATGTTTGTTTCTGCCCTCCTGTTTATTAATGCTCAAGCGTGTCTGCTTAGAGGTGTGTGTTTATGTATGAATGTGTGCGCATACATTATGCTCTCTGCAGGCTGTCTGATAGAAGTCTGTGTGAGTGGCTCTGAAGTGCGATGGTTTATGATGAGCATGTTTAATGCAAGGATGCAGCTCTTCCTCCTCTTAAGCTGGCTGTAAGTGGTCCATCTCTGGTCCTGCTGCAAAAACATCTTTCTGATGGTAATAAGACCAGAGAAAGTGTTGTGCCACTGTGGGAACCCTCTCAAATGCAGTGGTAAGGTGTGACCATGCAAAGGTATTTCATTACAAATAGCCTTGCTATGATGTTACATTCTGTCATTTGGTTAAAAATTATGTTGCAGATGCCCTTGTTGTATTTAACTAAAACTATTCAAGTTTTAATTAATTGAAAATTAAATAGAGATAAAATAAAATAAAATATAAAGGTAAGATGAACAAAATTTAAACTTAGGATGAATTAAATGAAAATTAGACAGGTTGTCTTGGCAACTAACTGAAATAAGTTATGTACTAAAATTGAAATTAAAAATAAGTAAATGAAAAATACAAAAAAAAACTAATAAAAATGACAAAACACTACTAAAACTTAAACTAAATTTAAAATGAAAACTGAAAATATATAAATAAAGGCTCATCAAAATATCAAGTGTGATACTTAAAGGGGCTATATATATATATGAATTTTCATGTATTAATCGCTTTTTTATTTCAACTGTGTGAACAGCTTAACGAAACTTAGAGGTAAACTGAAGTGCCTTGAAACACGCAGCATTATTCAATGTGTTGATGTAATTTCCACTGAAATGGGGAGACAGGGCGGGATATATCGAACAGCTCCTCCCCTTTTTTAAAATAGCCAATAGGGTTTCGTTTAATATCACAGACCGGCTGCTCAGCCAGAGCCTTTGAGCTCGGTGAAGCAGCAGTTTCCTCCTAATTTCCTCCATATTGCTTTAAATAGAGCATTCTGTGCAGAATTCAAATGGGTCCGATAAGTTTTCTGGTATGCGCCGAGTCACTGCCGCAGCTCACACACAGTCTGCTCCGGTCCATAGACATGATAGCACAGCATTAATCAGACTCCATTCGCCCCAATAGAACTAGTCTGAATCGTTCCCTATCCTGTAATGTGTGAACAATGTGTGTGAACAAGTGACCGATTTTTGCCAGCTTTAGCGTCTATTTATAATGTAGGGGGCGGGACGCTTTAGATTCTAGAGATTTGATTGGACAGAAAAGCTGATGAGAAGCTGAAATGCAGAGTGATGTCATCAAAATTATTGATCCATATTGGCAGAAGTGAGACTGTACGTTTTAAATGAATTTTGTCATTGTTTTGGAGCTCAATATAACATTAAGGCTAACATTCATACTAAAAGCCAAAAAACTAAAATTTTGATTTCATGGGGACTTTTAAAAAAACGAGACCTTCCCCGACTTCATAGGTTGTTTATGAAAGCCGATTTTCTTTCTTTTTTTCTTTTTTCCCCCCAGGAAAATCAAAAGGATGTGACGTGTTCGTGCGCCGGTGAATTGCAGAGCTTGTGCACATTGCTATGTTCAGATGCTTTCTTAACTGCTGCTTTCTTACTGCTGTCATTTTTGTTGTGCTGCAGCACATATTTACATATTCATCTAAACGTCTCTCTTAGCACCATGGACGGCGTCTGGATGTTCATTAGCAGTATCGCTGCAAATGTATTTTCAAGACTTTTTACTTCTAGTAAAAAAAACATATCTGCTGACGAGCAGTTGTGAATGCAGTAAAGTAATGCAGCATACGCTCTGAGTTCTTTAATTGTCACCCTCCCTTCCACTCAGAGGGCATCGTGAATATTTAATAAATAATTAGCAACATAATTTTTCCTCAGGAGTCATCACAACTCTAATTGCATTGTGAATTAAATGATGAGCAACATTATGGGTGGTACCCATATTCTGTGATGTCAGGAGAGTTAAAGCAATATCTCTCTGATCAAAGAGCCTTAGTCGGGAGGCAAAATGCTC